AAACAGCTTTTCAGGCCAGAAGATCATCTTAGACCGGAAGCTCTCTTTCCCTCAGATGAGGCGTGTGTCCACACACGGGTCTGTGCGTCTGCCCCTACATCATCATCGTCCAGTGACCGCCGCACTGAGCATCTTCCCACCGTCTGCTCATTCTGTGGAGGGGGCTACGGTCACGTGGCTTCTGGGGAGAAAACAGATCCGGTGGATGCTGGGTTCAGCAGTGACTCCGCTGAATGCCTGCTGTATGCGTTACCGTGGGCCCGCGTGGCACCTTCCAGAGCCTGCCTGTCCTGGGTCCCCCCTGCGGTGCTCTGGGCCTCGGGGGCGGGGGGGATGGCATTGCAGGGCTGCAGGTAGAGCGTCTGAGTTCTGTGGAGGAGTCGTCCTCTGGGAGACGGCTACTCTCTCACTGGCTGCAAAATCCGCTTCTCCACATCGGGGAAGGCAGTGAGAGCGGCTTCCCATGCTGGCGGTCTGGACTGCCACCCCCATCCGGGAACTTAAGATCCACATGCGACAGTGTCAGGCCTGGCCACAAGTCACCTACCCCCGCCCTCCTCCATGCCTACACCCACACGCGGCCTGTGGGCAGCCATGGGGACCACTGGCTTGTGGGGCCCTTTCTCCTACAATGAGGGGCTAAAGGGCCCCTGGAGGTAATGTCATCATGGTTACAGGCAACATGGTGCTGGCTGAATTTCCTCCTGATTTCCCTTCCACAACAATGAAGCTCAGAGCAAAAACACAGGTTCAGCCCACGAATGAGACACGGAATGCTCTTGGTGTTACAGCAGCTGGACAAAACTGAAGGCCCGTCAGTCTTGGCTTAGGAGTGGGAAGACTCTGGAAGGTCACTTCCCTGCCAGACCACAGCCTCTCACAGAAGAGCTCCCATGGTGGGTTTGAGATTCTAAGGGGCCCGGACACTGGTCACTCAGAAGCAACCTTCTGGCCACCTGCCCCGCCCCGCCCCTGTGGGACCCACGTTCCCCTCCCGTCCCTGGCCAGCGCCGGGTAACAGGGCCCGGACGACCATGACGGGAAACAGTGTAGCAAAGAAGACAGGGCTTCTCTGAGCCTCGCACTATTTCTTAATTAAATTAAAATGACAAAATATTTACTGCTTTTTTAATGCAGTCCACATTCAGTGGGGAAACCCCGTGGCCTGTTTCCCAGGCGCTGGCTTGAAGGTATCTGCTGCCCGGTGGTGTCATGGGTCACCCTAGAGGCCATGTGTTGGTGTCCTTTGGAAACAGGGTGGCCCTAATCCCATATGACTGGTGTTATTATGGACACAGAGACACACGCACAGGGAGGAGGCCACGTGGTAACATGGCAGAGGTCAGGGAGAGGCTTCTACAAGCCAAGGAACCCCAAAGACCTCGGGGAAACTACCAGGAGCTGGGAGAGCATGGGAGACACGCCTCACGGCCTCCAAGGGAACCAGCTGCTGACCTTCATCCGGGACTACTGCCCCCGGGACGGAGAGACAATCCGTTCCTGCAGTCCCTCGTTCCGACCGACGTAAGAACCGAGCCCAGGTGCCCAGATGGATAACGCAGCTGGAGCCCGCTTGCCCTGCGGCGTGGCGAGGAGCCCCCAGCGGCGGGGACGGAGCTGTCATGACCTAGGTCTTTCTGTCTCGGGAAACAGAAGTGCCATCAGCACGTGCGCTCTGCTTTCATTCCCTTCTTGTGTTTTAAGTGTTGGTGCCAACCCCGAAAGCTGATTTCATGGCCCACTCATGGTAGCAGTTTGAAAACCGCCCGCTTGAGGGAACCTCTTCCTTTGGAAAGGTGGTGCCAGCGCCCACAAAGGCGGTGGTTTCTCTCCAGATGTTCCCATTGCCTTGTCTCGTCTTTCCTCTCTGCCAGGCTTGTCTTTGTGGTTCGCCTTCCACAAGCTTCTCTTTTTCCCACCTGCTTTTCCAGCTGGCTTCCTCCGGGCCGCCGTCTTCCGGGCCCGTTCGCCCACCGAGTCTGTGAGCACCACGGGGCCAGGTCCTCGGCGCTTCGTCTGTGGGCCCAGAACCAGCGCCTCGTGCAGCGTGCAGTGACTATTGAACTGCCTTTCAGTTGCTTGTGAAGTTGTGAGAACATTATGGAATCTTGCCTTTTCTCAGTGTTAATGAATCAACATTTTCTCCACACATTCCCCAGCAGCATCTTTGCTGGTCTTGTGCTCAAACGAACCCCAAGGTTTCGGGGTCCCCTTCAGCTGTGACGCTTCGTTAATTCATCCAGAACCCACAGACACCTGCTCCGTACAAAGTGCGGGGTGGCAAGGAGGACACGACATCCCCCTCGGGAGGCCACAGTCCACGGGGGAGGGGCCACAAAGGGCTCCTGTGACCAGTGGGTGGGAGCATGGAAGCAAACCAGCCTCGATTTCCCCAGGAAACCAATGATCCCAGCTCCACCTTACATCTTCCCCTCAGTTTTTAGGAGCCAAGTTGAAGTGGGAGCTGCCTTAACCCTTCTGTTTAGCTTTTTCTAAAATATTAGAAGGTCTAACTCAGGCTGTAGCAGGAAGTGAGAGAAGCAAACAAGTGATGCAGGCTCAGACTCAGTTTTCTTGACCCTTCCCCCAGAGGGAGGCTTTGTACTTCACGATGCAGTTTCCTTTTAATTAAAGGGCTGACACAAGATCCAAGTATATATTGTATATATACAGGCATACATCTTAGTTATTTAAAAATGAAGAAATGGACAAAAATACAGCAGGTAAATTGAAATAATAAGAAAGCAGATCGTGGCGATCCTTATATCAGAGAAAGTAAAATCTAGGCCCCAAAGCATTAAACGTGACAAAGAAGGGCTCTTTTTAATACTGAAAGCTAGAGTTCACAATGAAGAGATAATGCTCATGATAATCCACACACAAAACGTCACAAGAATCATGCTTGTAAAGCAAAAACTACAAGAAATGCAAGGATACACACACAAAAACACATTTATAGTGGGGGAATTTGCACACCATCCTAGTAAAAGAATCAGGGGAGAAAATAATAGGGAAGCAGAGAGGGGGCTCAACAACATCGTTGATAAGCAGACATGATAAATACACACCAAGCACCCTTCCCATCCTAACAGCAGAGGACACACCTTCTCAAGTGCTTGTGTAATATTCACAAAAGCTGATAATATATCAGGTCGCAGAGAAAACATAAGTCAGCCACAAAGTGGAACTATTAAAAACACTTTCTGATCATAGTATAATAAAAACTAGAAATTATTAACAGAAACAAAGAGAAAAGGTCCTACCACCTAAAAATTGGAAAACGTTTTATTAGACAACTTTTGGGTAAAAAGGAAGTGCAAATTAAAATGTATAGAATTTTTGGAAAATAATTAAAACACTATATATGAGAATCTATGGGTTATGTTTAAAGGAGCAGAGCACCAACCACTTATTAGTAACATGAAATAAATGTATTACTCAGCTCTAAAACTGGAAGACAGGCAACAAAGTGCACTATAAAAAAAGCATAAAAAAGGAAATATTAATGACAAAGGTAGAAATTAATAAAATGCAGAATGGAAATACAGTGAAGTTAGTTAATATGTCAATACCCTAGCTTTTGGGAAAAATTAATAGACAAGCTACTAGTTCACCTGATTAGAAAGAAAAAGCAAAAGCATATATTTATAAAATAAGAAATGACAAGGGGGAAATAGCAGTGGGGACAAATGATATCTTTAAAATAATGAGTTAATTTAGGGACCTCCATGCAAATACATTTGAAAACACAGAAGGAATGGGTCGTTCTCTAGGGGAATGGAGTTTGCTAAAATTGACTCCATTTGATTAAGAGAGACTAAATGAATTGCTTTTCCTGGAAGAAACAGAAAAAGTTACTAAGGAACTACCTGAGAAAAAACAGAAGGAGATGGTTTCACAGGGCACTTCTAACAGATCTGAAAAGACCAGATGGTTTCAGTGCTCTAAATCTTCTTTTTTTTTTTTTTAAAGATTTTATTTATTTCTTTATTGGAGAGCGAGCGAGAGAGAAACAGCATGAGAGAGGAGAGGGTCAGAGGGAGAAGCAGGCTCCCCGCTGAGCCGGGAGCCCGATGCGGGACTTGATCCCAGGACTCCGGGATCATGACCTGAGCCGAAGGCAGTCACTTAACCAACTGAGCCACCCAGGCGCCCCAGTGCTCTAAATCTTCTAAGAGATTCAAACAGGAAGGAAAAACCCTTAAATTCTTTATTGTGAATTAGGTATAGCATTGACATTTCAACCTGATAAAGATAGTACAGAAAGACGACAGACTAATATACACCTATGAACTGTATTTGGGTTCAAAAATACTAAATAAAACATTGAGGAGCAGAATCCAAAATAATCAACATGACCAAGTAAGATTTTTTCTAGGAATGCAAGGTTGGTTCAATATTGGAAAATCCATTCATACACCATTCACATTACTAGGCCTAAAGAAAAAAAATTTAGTATTGCCAAAGAATGAAAAAGACTATGACAAAACGTAAAAAAATTGATGGATACTTTCTTCAGTTGTTAAAATACGTATGCCTTTGTCCTAGGGCCAGAATCTTATTTATTGGCTAAACACTAGGGGTATTTTAGCTAAGATGGTGAACAAGGCACAGAAACCCACTAACTCTGCTACTTTTGACCATTATTCTCGAAATATGAGCCAATGCAATTAGATAAACCAATGAGATGCAAAAACATTGGTAAAGAAGAAGAAAATTCTATTTGTACATGATAATGCAATATATTTGGAAAACCCTAAAGAATCAATGATAAACTGAACTGAGGCAATAAAATAATTTAGTAAGAGTAGAACAAGAAATTAACCTACAGAAATCAATAGCACTCACACCCACAAATAAAACAGGTAAAGCACATGGTGGTAGAGCCTTTCTCATTCATAACCAGTGAGGCAGATGACTGGCCGGCCCCGGGTCTCCCCGGCACGTAGGCAAGGTGGTTACCAAGTAGCCGTTACTGCCCTTGGAAAGTCTGTGCTTACCGCCAGGAGAGATCTGTGATCCACCATAACCCTCAGGACTGCCGATTTGGTAACTCTCATCAGTGCTGGGTTCTTTGATGACGAACATGGAAAAAACACGTGGACATTGTTTTGATTACACACTTATGAAGGTTTTGTCCCATACTTTATTTTAAAACTTTAAGTTGAAATGCCAATATCATTTTCAAGTTTAATCTAAAAATGTGGTCTGGAAAGTTTTCATGCAAGCATCATGTCAGATGTCATCTGACTATTAAGAATATGTATTTACTCGTTTGCTGACCCAGCCTCCCAGTTATGAGAATTTACATGTCCAACAATAGGCAAACACATGCACACCGGGCTGTTCCTTGCGACATCGTGTGTGACTGCAGAAACAATGTAAACAGAAGCAAGTAGAAAGACCACACGTGGGCAGGAGCCACGGTTCCTTCTCTGTGACAGGCTGGAGCGGCTCTCAGCACAGAGTGTGCAGGGAACAGGGCAGAAGCTGCGAACTTACGGTGAGCACCTTCATCTAACGAGGGATGGAGATATGAGTGTATGCTCATCTCCTCATTTGTGCCAAAGGGAACACAGGACTCTTGGGGTTGCTGCCCTGCGGAGGCACATCATGGTGGGCTGCTAGTAGTTTCCGGTATGTACCTTTTTCTATTGTGATGACTTTTAAAACCACGGTAATGCTCACATATTCAAATATAAATATCTAAAATCAACAGCACGAGGAGACCAAAAAAATATGCCCATAGTAGCAATGAGCTAAGAAAGACATGCAGAGAATGGGCAGGTGGAAAGACCCACTCTAGGTGACTTTGCAAACTATATATTTTTGGAGACAAAGAACTCCTCACAAACACCATTCTCCTGTTGGCAGATCTGATTTTTCCAGGGGTGCAGGGTAGCAAATTCTAAACCTCTAGGACTAGGCAAGTGCTTAAATTATTGTGGAAAATGGGAGCCATATTTTTAACAAAGAGTTGCAAAGGAGCAGGAGGGAGGCCTGGAGGAATCCTGTGATATTGGGTGGAATCAGATTATCAGCTTGAAGTCGTGGTTTTATGTAGAGAAAGAGGGCGGGCGACAGTACCATCTAATTCTGTATGTGTGTGTGCATCTGTGTGTGCACATGCATGTGTGTCTGTGTGTGCGTGCCTCTGTGTGCGTGTGTGTGCGTCCACATGTGTGTGCCTGTGTGCACCTGTGAATCTGCGTGTACACATGTGTGTGACTGTGCATCTGTATGCGCACACGTGTGTCTCTGTCTCTCTGTGTGCATGTGTGTGCACACGCGTGTGTGTCTGCGTGTGCATGTGTCTCCGTGTGTGGTCACACATTTTCCAGCCCTGCCTGCGGAGGGAGGCTGGAAGGACTGGCATTCTCCTCAAGTCCGCCCAGCACCCATGTCTTCGTTTCTAAGTTCTGTCCTCTGGGAAAAGAAATCAGACTCCAGGGCTGGGGCAGGGAAAGGGCTAGAAGCCTAGAAGTCCTCACAGCGCCAGAAATTAGGGAAGTGTTCAAGAGGAGGGCGCAACAACAAGACAGAAGAACCAAATGGATGGAGCCCCCAAGGCAGATCTGCGGTGAGCCAATGAGGCAGGAACAAAGGAAAGAATGAGTAAATATGGGACAAGCTCTTCCTCAGGGCAAAACTCCCAATAAATAAACAGAGGGAGTGAGAGAAGCAGAAAGTTGCCATTTGACGAGGTCCTGCCTCAGGGCCCAGCACCACACCTCACAAGGCAGGTGTCCCCTGAGCTGCACAGGTGACCTTTCTTCTGTGTAGTCTTCAGGGTAAAGGAAAGATCTGTCAGCCCCAGGCACCGCTCGGAGCCTTGGCCAACTGGAATCCATGTCAGCCACCTCGGCTGTTGGAGGGACGCTTCCCCCCACTCCTGGGGGCCTCCCTGGCTGGCGGGGGGCACTGGCTCTCCCCACCCGCCCCCGGGAGGGGCACTGACCTAGCTGGATTTGGGAGGGGCGGGCAGTGTGGAGGCCCTTCCTCTGGGCGGCCCCCTGCCTGCAGGGACCTCCCTGCCTTCCTCCTCCAGTCCGTGCTGAGTCAGAGTCATGGGCAGGGCTGGGCGGCTGGCGGTTCCTCGACAGAGCTGGAAATCTGCCCACGTCGGGTGGGGCTGCCTCCCTGTCCAGCCACACATCCTCCATGATGGGGCTGTCCCCATCAGCCCCTGCCTGGTTCCTCCGTCCTCCCCACTGTGTTCTCCACGCAGGTAGGGGATTAGCGGGTTGCATTTACCATTATTGAAAATTTTGTCCTCACTGCCAAGAGAGAACTGTGAATTATCTGGGAGTCCATGATAATTCTGAGGAGCACCAACTTGAAAATTCTCATTCAGGATGGAATCTTTGATGAAGAACATGGAAAAAATAAGGAAACAATTGTTTGATTACACACATACGGACATTTTGGTCCACACTGTATTTTACGGAGTGCTAATGGAGTGTTCAAGTTCTACTGAAAATGTGCTTTGGCAAGTTAATATGTAGGGGAGTCAGGCATCATCTGACCGCCTTGCACCCAGCCGTGTGGGCCTCGGCAGATGTTGGGTGATGCTAATCCTAGGAACTGGAATTTACATCTGGATGCACAATTTCGAGACAAGGCTGAACTTTCTTGCTGCTGAATGTAGTTCATGCACTGCGTGTAGATTTCGGATACCCAGCTCTCCCCTTAGCAAGTGTCACCCAGACACTCGGCCTTGGTTCTCCACGAGCTAGTTTATGGGTCTATGTGCATTCTGAACACCATGAAGCTGCACTTTGGAAAAGCACGTTCTTTATCTTTGCCCACTACCAGCCAGCTGGCCTTGGGTAAGTGCTTCAGAGCGTAGTTTTAGCCCCCGTAGTTTTAGCCAATGGGGTCATGGTCACCGCCCACCCCCTCCAAAGGCTTAGGTACGCGTCAGTGTGCTGGTAGTTGAAAGTTCCTATTTCCATGTGCCCCGTTTTCCTGCGGTGGCTAAACCCCATTCGCAGCCTGAGCACAAGACCTTGCTTGCATGTGCACCCCAGAGACCACCCCAAAACAGAGGGAACTCGTCTCTGCCCACCAGGGCTTGACCTCCTCGGTCTCGGGAAGGTTCTAGAAATGGTTTGGGACAACTGTTTCTTTCACGTTTCATTTGCTTTTGCCCCAGAAGTAGCTGGCCTTAAAGAAAGCAGAAAGATGGGATTGTGTCTTCACCACCACAGACCCAGGAATATATGCAATTATAGGTTTAAAAATGTATACTTGCTTTTTTCCGTGAATAATTTTGTTGCTACTGTTGATGCCGTCCTTTGTTTTCCAGCCATTGATGAATTACTTGGATCCAACATCTCTCGGACTAGAATTTCATCTTGGGAAAAGCACACAAGGACATGTTAAAGCCAGCAGTGCAGGATCCATACCCTTCTGCTCTACGCGGACATGAGGCAGTCTGTGAAGCAGGGACTAGAAACAGGGACTCGAGGAGCACCATGCAGACGGGATTTGGCTTCCTAAAGAACCTTGTCTGGGTGGGAGACCTCTGCCTCCCTCAACAGTTTCTGAAACCTGGGACCATCCAGATACCCTGGACGAATAAGCACTGTCCCCCAAAGACACGATGCTAGAAGCCTGGCCCCAGGTGCAGTCACACTTCTCGCTGCCCCCCGTCATTCCGTCCCCTCTGAGACTTTTCCCAGGCCGTCCCTGTGTGAGCACGGTGTCCTTCCTGATTTCTGCATGACGCAGCATTGCTTTCTCTCTTTGCGTCTTCCTGACCTCTCCCAGGAAGCTTTTAACATAAGAGCACCGGACTTCGTGTCCGACAGAGGGGACCCACGTTCTGGTTTTGCTCTCACTGGACCGTGATCCAGGCAGCTTCCTCCCGGAGCCTCAGTTTTCTCATCTGCAAAATGGGTCTGTGTTTATCTCCTTGGGCTTGTTAGGAGGTTCACATAAAGCAGTGTACATGGACAGCATTTAGCACAGTTGGGGACCGTGATGGAGGCTAAATGCAAAGGAAAAGGGGGCAGCGGCAAGTTGCCCCATCTCTGCAGCCCAGCGGGCACCCTGACTGGCTGGTCCACGCACTAGGACTGGAGCCCCTCCAGCAGGGTGACCACCTGCCCTGGTTTGCCCAGACTTTCCTGGTTCAGCAGGCAAGTGCCACATCCTGGGAGCCCTGAGGTCCTGGGCAAAGCACACGGCTGTCCACCCTGGCTCTGGGTCATGGGAGATACATGAGTTCAGAGGGAGAAGACCTCAAGTGCCACTGGAAACCAAGATTTGGCCGACATGCCCGGGGAAATGCTCTGTGCGGCTCTGCGGCTTTCCTCCTCAACAGCCTCGCTGTCCTCCTTCCTCCCCACAGAACCTGAACTTTGCCCCGGGGCCATGTGTGCATCCCAGCGGAGCAGGGCATGCAAAGGGCTCCGAGAAGAATTTCGCTTCTCCCAGCAAAGACAGCGGGTGCTTCAACCTGCACCCTTCCTTCTTCCCGCCCTGGGAGTGGCCACCATTCTGGAGCTTTGGACACCACCCATGACCACAGGCATGAGCTCAAGGGATGTCCAGGGTGGCCTCAGGGACGTGGCTGGACGTCACTGAGCGGCTGGTAACACAGCAGCGCAGCCCCTGGGTGGTGGAGCCCCCGCGCTCTGCTCTGCTCACGTGGCCAGGGGCATTCTTCACTGCTGCCCTACTCTGGCTGCACCTGCTTCCACCTTGGGAAGATCTCGGCCCCTCTTCTGGGCCAGTTATAATGCAGAAGAAGACTTACAGTGTTAAGTCCCTAAAAATCATGGTGTCTAGTTAGATTTTGGGTCACAGAGAAGTTATTCATGTGAATAACAAACATTTACTGAGCACTTACTGTGTACCAGAAACTGTCCAGGTGCCCGGAGGCAAGGACGGCCCAGCCCTGGCCCCTAGTCTCTGTCCTGAGCAAACCGGCCATGTGTGAGGGGCAGGACTCTCCACATGTGACCGTGCACTGCACCTTACGGAGCACCCACCAGGGGCTGAGGACAAGGGGGCCCCAAGGCGGGCAGGGACCGGCAGGGGACGGGAGCCCGACTGAAGGGCACAGAGAAGTGGGTGCTCCTGGAACCAGTCCACCTCGGGAAGGAGGCTGCGGTGGCCTCCTGGGGCCACTAAGTACTATCAGCTGTGGATGTCCCGGGAGGTCCTCACAGCAGGCGGTGACAGCCCCGCTGCCACAGGACAAGCTCCCGTGGACAGTGTCCATCCTCAGGGCCAAGGGGAGCCCACAGCCAGCGGGCTTCGCCCCACTTCCAGAGCAGGAGGGGAGCAAGCCAAAACCTAACCTTTCAACAGCCTCCAGAAGCACCGTGCATCTGATTGTCGCAAAAACCTTCAGGGAGCCCGACAGTTGTGCAAGTGAGAAAACTGTCTCCAGATCATGCCTAATTTCTTATGGTTACATTTTCTTTTCTGGAAAATGAGATATTGAGTATACAAATGGGCAATGACCAGACCTACATAAAAACAAAACCAGCCACTGTGTCAGCCGCAGCCCAGACAGCTGGGCTGCCGTCGAGAAGTCACTCCTGCAGGTAGCTGATTCCAGCAGCAATCCTGGAAA